GGAAATGCTCCTATGCTGGTGAGTGAGCCCTTGTGAGCAGGGGTGATGGGGAGTGGGAAGGGCAGGCTGGTGTGTGGGCAAGGCAAGTGCTGGAGAGATGCTGAGCCCTCTACGTGGCGTGTCCCTGTCCCTCGTCATGGCAAGCAGGCTGTGCTCAGGGTGATGAGGGCCATAATGGGTGTCCTCCTGCGCTTGCAGAAGCACTGCGAGCGTGCCTGGCAGAGGTTTCCCTGGCTGCTGCACCAGTACCGGGAAGTGCGGGACCCTGTTGGGGTGACCACGGTGAGGCACTGTGAAGGGGACAGCATTGCTCAGGGCTGTGAGCATGGTACAAGGCATCGGAGAGCTGCAGGGTGTCAGAAGGAGCAGAAACCTTTGAGGTCTGAATAACTTCAGGCAGGAAGAGGGGTCTAGAGCTTCACAGGCTTTTGCTATGAGAAACTACATGGCAGGAGGCCGGGATGGAGAGGATGGACTCTGGGACGAGTGGCCAGGGAGCGGAGGCAGTGCCACCTCCTGTGCTGGGGGGTGTACGGAGCTTTGTCCTCACACCCAGGGCCGTCCTGTCCAGTTTGTCCCCCGACTCTCAGGATGAAGCCCAGAAGCTGAGTTTTTTTTTTGCCTCCATCCATACCCTGTGCAGAGCCAAAGGGATGGGCAGCTACGTGGTTGGTTAATGCAAGCCAGAGCAGCCCTTCCAGGCACACACGCCCCGCACCTTGGCTCTGCGCGGCCCGCATCTCCAAGAAAGCCACCACGCTACACGTCTTGGGCATGGGGCTTTACTGAGCTGGTGGCGGATCTGGCCCCACGGCTTCCTGGGGCAAAGGCAGAGAGAGAAGCAGTTGTCTGCCACGCTGAGCCCCTTGTTCATTATAGGCTTGAAGCAGCCACTGCGGAGCTGCTCCCATCTTCCTTCCCCACAGGAGGCTGCCCTGGTGTGAGAGCTCTCCATCCAGCTCTTCCAGAACAGGATGCCAATTGTGGTGGGCACCGAGAAAGTGCTAAGGAAGAATTTGTTCACTATGGGCTTCAAGCCACCGTGGCAAGCCACTGCCTGTGTAACACTCCCCTGTGCTCCAGCTCACTGCAGGGGAAGGAGCTGCACCAGCACTAGGTCCGGCTGCACGTGGCATACCACCGTCTCTCAGCAGTTGCCCAAGCTATGCCTTAAGCAGTCTGTGAGGGCTGGGGGCAGCTGCCCATCCCACAGGCTGGGCTTCTCTACCAAGGAACATGGAGTAAGGGATTCTTCAGCATTATTCAACTTTTGGGAGCCCTCTCCCCTCCAGCGCTGTACCTCACGGGAGTCTCCCAAGCAGGTGCTGGCACAGGCCCAAAGCTGCTCTCCGGACAACTGGGGCTGGGAGCCTGCTCGCACGATCTCTATGTTAGCAAAGACTATTTTGGGAGGCAGCCTACCCTGAAGCTTTCCTGAAGGTATAGGAAGGCCTGTGGCTGTGATGCAGAGCTCTCAAGATGTTCTAAGCCAGCTCTCAAATCTGCTGCATTTCAGGAATGACCTGTGGTGGTGATGCCCCAGGCCTGCTTTCACAGCCTGCTCCAAACCCCTTACTACCACGTCAAAGATTCAGTGTGGAAAGCACCACTGAAAGGTCTGTCGTGCCCCTATTTATTGGACCCAGGTCCTGGGCTTCTGGAACCTTCTCTCATCCCACTCTCAGGAGTGGTTGAGACACCTGTCATTCAAGGGAGGCAGCACCAGTAAGTCTAGGCAGGTGGCACCAGGTCCTTCCCCGTGACCTCTGGAATCTTCTCTTCGGGTGGTGGTTCCAGGAGTGTTTTAGATCTCAGTGCTGTCACTTGGGCTGTGTCCCTTACCCCATGCTTGGGGAAGGCACTGGCACACGAGTGTCCTGGCAGGAACCTCTCCATGCTATGGCCTCCCTGGCAGCTCCCCTGTGCTCCTGTCCTGAAACGTCCCTGCAGCCGGGCAGTCCTGATCCTGCCCCAGCGAGTAGTGCAGCGTTCCTGCTCCAGGAGGCCAGGCTCTGGTGTAGGGATTCATCAGCTCTGCTCCTGTTCCTCCCCTCCTGCACAGAGCACAAGGGTCGGGGCTTGGTACAGACCTCTGACAGCCAGGTCAGTCCTCCTACCAGAGCTGTGTGCTCATTGACTTGCTCTGCCAGGACATTCAGGGTCCCAGCCAGGTGGCAGCGAGCTTTAGGGGGAGCAAAGGGCACGGGGCTTGCATTCGTGGCAGGTTGAGGTGCCATCCTAGTAGCAAGGCCCACCTGGGCCAGGGGCTCCTTCCCCATCCCAGAGGCAGTGATGGATTGTGGCCCTTGAGGAGAGCCCAGCGGGACAGTGTGCGGGAGAAAGGGGAGTGCATGTGCAGCTCCAGAGCCCGCAGCAGTGGACTGGTGATAGGGAGGGATGTGAGGGAATGAGGGGACAAGGGGGGCAGGCCATCTGCGAGGCAGGTCTTGGGGGCTTTGGGGCTGTCCTTACCAGGCACTCTCCAATCTGCCAACTCTGTGCTCTTGAGGAGGTGCCTGAGTTGCTTCCACCTCAGGAGCTGGGCAGCACTGAGGAGGGCTTCCTGAGAGGCCTGCAGAGCAGCCCAGAGTGGGAGATAGGAATGCAGCCCAGCCAGGAGACCCTGCATTCTTGCACCCTGCCAGTGCTCAGAGCCTTTCTCAGTCCATTAGAGAAGCTGCATCTAGGCAGACAAATTGGGCAAACAATATGTTAGGGCAGCAAGTCAGAGCTCGCCCAGTCCCTGCAGGGCTTGGATCATAGAATCATAGAATGCTTAGGGTTGGAAGGGACCTCTAGAGATCATCTAGTCCAACCCCCCTGCATACGCAGGGTCACCTAAAGCACGTGGCACAGGACTGCATCCAAGCGGGTTTTGAAGATCTCCAGCGAAGGAGACTCCACAACCTCTCTGGGCAGCCTGTTCCAGTGCTCTGTCACCCTCACTGTTAAGAAATTTTTCCTTAAGTTCCTATGGAATTTTTGGTGTTTCAGTTTCTGGCCATTTCCTCTAGTCCTATCAGTGGCCATCACTGAAAAGAGACCATCACCGTCCTCTGCAGGGACAGCTGGAAATCCCCTAGGGATGCCAGTGCTGGGTCTTCACTGGGCAAACCTGGACAGAAAACTGACAAAAAACTCCTGGTCCCACATGGCTAAGCTTTGTGGTCACACACCTGTGCCCCGCTGGGGATCTCCTCATGTGCATGCACGAGCAATGGGAGCAGGCAGCTGTGCACATGCTTCCTCAGCAGCACTTTCTGCTTGCCCACCACAATGGCCATCACACTCTGGAAGAGCTGGATGGAGAGCTCTTGCATGAGGGCAGCCTCCTGTGGCGAAGGAAGATGGAAGAAGCTCCGCAGTGGCTGCCTCAAGCCCACAGTGAGCAAGGGGCTCAGTGGCAGACAACTGCTTGTCCCTCTCCATCTTCCTGCCCAGAGATTCAGCATGTGGCCAATACAGGGTGCAGCTTCCTGAGCTCTCAAATCCCGCCGCTCCCTTTCCCTCCACTGTCTTACCCTCCACCTCCAGGTTCAGGCTACCAGGAGAGGGAGCAGTGTGAGGCCTTCAAGGAGAACTGCGGCCAGCGTGGGCTGCGGGCTCCCTGTGCCCACCCTCGCGCCTCTCCTTGGCTCGGCAGCATGGTGCAGCCAGACAAAAAGAGAAATCCCATCCCCTGGGCGGCAAAGGATGACAAATTCAGGGTGTTTGCTGAGGCCTGGGAGCGTTTGGGAGCCACCAGGAACCTCCTCATACGCTGGCGTGATACAGACTTCAGCAAGTCCATGGGGGAGGCAGAGGACAGTGGTGGCAGCACTACCTACATGGCCTGGGACGATGATGAGGATAGTGCCATCACTGAGAGCAAGAGACAAGCTGAGACCCAGCAGCGGTGTGAGCTGCACACCTCCCAGGCAGCTGACTGAGCGGCTCTGTGGGACCGGCTTGCGATGCTTCTGCAGGCGCAGGAGGACACCCATCATGGCCCCCATCGCCCTGAGCACAGCCTGCTTGACCTGACAAGGGACAGGGACACGCCACATTGAGGGCTCAGAATCTCTCCGGCACTTGCATGCACGGCATGGGGCAAAGCCCAGTACGTTTCATCTCCAGCAGGTTCCCTTCAGCCCAGCCCAGATGTTTTGGGCAGGGGCAGGAGTTGTGTATCCCGCTGGGCACCAAGAGTAACGCAGAGCAGCAAGTTGGGGACTCTACTGTAGCGAGTGGCCATGTTGCGCAGGGTGGTGAGCACCACCTCCCCCGACAGTTCCTGCAGGCTCTTCAGGTGACCCTGCAGCGCCGACACCACCTCGCGCAGGTGGGAGCGGGCCAGGGCCACCAGGACGTTGCTCGCCACCGTCCTCACAGCAGCTGTCCCACCCTGGAAGACAACAGTCCCTGTGTGGCACGAGCAGGTCCGTCTGTCCTGCATGCCCAGCCTCCAGGCAGCACATAGATCCCGTGACATGGTTCCCACTGCCCCTTGCTCACAACAAGCCCATGGTCACCTCTCTGCACAGCTGTGGGCACCTCCTCAAGCCCCCCAAGCCAGGACGTGTCCTGAAGACTCTCCGTAGGACAGCTGGACACCGGGGTCTGCCTCAGAGAGAAGAGGCTCACCTGGGCCTCTCGCAGGTCTGCAGACACCACTGCTATCACCCTGTATACCACAGAGAGCTGCAGGCAGCTCTCAGAGCCACACAAGACGCTCTCCAGCTGGCAGTAGGTCTCCTCTCTGCCACCTCTTTACACACCGCGCGGTGGGACCTACAGCCCTACAACACGTCCTGGGTGCTGAGTTCAAGCTGTCAGCATCACTCAGCACAGCCATTAGGAGCCGCCAAGGATCCCGTGCCAGGATTTCCAGACCATAGCTTGAGCACAAGTCCAGCACCAGCGCCACCTCCACCACAAAAGAGGGGTATGCAGGAGCAACTGCCCAACACCATGTCAGGATGAGTGTTTGCACGGAGGCACAGTAGAAGGGCAAAAGTGCCATGGAGCGAGAGCCACCTGTGGCACAGGAGAAGCTGGGACACTGTGGGGAGCCCTCCAGCCCCATGGGACAGCCCCACCTCACTGTGGTGTCTTGCGGACGGTCCAAGAGAGAAATCTCCATGGCGGCAGCGTGGCTGGGTCGGTCCCTGTGGCCAGGGCTCTGGTCCCCGCTGCGATGGCTTGGCCTTGCTGCCCATCATCCTGCCTCCCTCCCTCAGAAGTGGCTCAGCCGTGGAGGAAGCGGCATCAAGCCCTTCCTCTTCCCAAAGAGGCCTCTGGACTTCCTGGGGCAGCTGATGGGGCACCTCACGCTGTGCTGTGCTGAGGAGGACCAGGAGATCAGCCAAAAAGAGAGATACCAGACTCTTGGGCCTTTCTGCATCCTAACCAGCAATATCCCCTTTGCCACCCTGGGAGACTCTGCTCCTCACACTGCAGTGACACCCCGTTCTGCAAGCTGCAGAGCTCTCTTTGTTGCCCTTGATCAGCCACGTCCCCTCCTCCTGACTGCTCTGTGTTTACCCTCTGGCACAGGTAGAAAGAGGGCAGCTGAGAATCCAGCGCTTCCAGAGATGAACTGGCAGGTGGAAGCCCCGAACACCTTCTGGCCCAGCAAGGCCACTGATGAGAGCACGGTGAGAAGCTCCTCCCTCCCTCCTGTGGCCTTCTTGGGCACAGTGCTGGCAGAAGGCATTGTGCCAGCACCGCTCTGCTTGCTCGCTCTCAGCTGAGCCACTCTCAGCTCCTCAGGCTGTGCACTGGGTGCCATGGCTCTTTCCTCCCACAGGAATTTGGCATCTTTCTCTTTCCTTCTGAGAGGACAGACTTCCTCCTGACAATCATCAACGGCATAACAGACCCAAGGCTCTTGAACACTGAGGTGGTGGAGCACGTGGTGGAGGCGGTCTTGAGGGACCCCGGCTCTGAGTTGGGTGGGGTAAGCGGCTTGCAAACACATTGCCCTGTGCTCACAGCAAAGAGAAAAGCAGCAGGGCTGCCACAGGACACACTGCGCCCCGGGACACAAAGCACAACACAAGGACCCCTCCCCTGTGCCTCCCACAGCTCGAGGAAGTTTGCAGATTGCAGGTGCTGCAGGCTCTGCTCTTGCACGAAGCGCAGACTCCCACAAGCTGCCAGGGCCATGCCGAGCATCTTGTACAGGAAGCGCTGCGAGAGAAGAGGCCAGGCCCCAGCTGCAGTGACAGCCTGGCCTGGCGGGACAGGGACAGGCCCAGGCCATGGCAGCCCCACAGTGCCAGGACCCACCAAGGCACCTGCAGCACCAACAGCAGCTGCTGGCAGCGGGGCCAGCCCAGCACCACGGCTGCACGAACACATCTGCCTGCTGGTGCTGGGCGAAAATGCCCCTGATAAGGTGGGTGACGCTGAGGACATGTCTCCTCTGCATGGGGAGGTAAGGGGCTACCTCTCCTGTGCTGCTCCCTGGGGCAGTCCAAGACTGTGTGCCTGGGCCCATCCCTTTGGGAAGCCGTCCTCTGCTCCTGCTCAGAGAAGACCCAAACCTGGTTCTCCTGGGAAGTGGCTTCCTTGCTGAGTTTCATCGTGATGCTGGATGGTGACACGGGCACCCAATCTTTGCCACCATGTTATGCTTCCCAAAGGAGGGAGAGGGTGGAGATGGATGCCTTGCCCTACAGGCATTAAGGTGTCCCCTTGGGGCTTGGGAGGAGGATACATGCCCGCACCCCTTGTTCTGCCCTGCTGATGTGGCGCTGGCCCCAGTTTTCCTTCTGCAGCTGCAAGTTTAAGGTGCAGAAGAGCAACAGGGAGTATCATCATGTGGCAGATGGGCATCTCCAACAACTACACTGTGGAGACAGCCTTCAGGAGCTCCACGCTGGGTGAGAGGCTGTATCAGGAGCCCTGGGGTGCTGTGGGTGCCAGGGGTTGCCAGAGCACTGAGGAGACAGCCCTGTGTTTTGGGGCATGGCCCAGGAGGAGCTGCGAGCTTTCACCGTGCTCAGGGACGCGGTTTGGGCCCTGAGGCCTCTGAGCTGGAAAGGTGACCACTGTGGGCCACGGTGACGTGAGCTTTGGGATGCAGAGTGGTGGTGGACGAGGACAGGCTGGCGTGGGGAGCTAGACCACGCGCAGCCTCCCAGGGCACAGTTAGGCTGGGGCTCCCAGCTGGGAGGACATGGAGAATGCAGCTAGGCCCGGGATACCCCCACATGCAGGAAGAAGCACCCTTGGGCTGCAGGAGCTCCCTTGTGCAGCACCAGCGGCTCCAACAGCTCCACGTGCGGCAGCCTTTGTGCTCTGCTCCTTGGCCTGGCAGAGCAAGCGAGTGCCTTCAGCGTGAGCCGCGCGCAGCCAAAACCTCCCTGGCCATCCCTGATGAGCACGGGGGCCATGCCGGTGTGCCAAGCCTGACGGCACCTGCGCCCTGCGGGCCTCGTGGAGCTCAGCCAAGGCAGCGTGGAGGAGGCTGCCCTGCCACTGGATGCTTTCAGGGTGGGATCGACAAGTGGGAGATGCGGATGTGGGAGAGCAGTGAATGAAGCTGGCCCGGGAAGCTCTGGGGAGATGCGAGGCTTTGCAAGGATGGGGATTCCCGGTGGAGATGCGCTGGGGTGTCACTTTGCTGTCCAGACGAGCTTAAAGAAAGGAAAAAGAAGCGGTTACAGACAGAGAGGAAGAACCACCTCCAGGGACTGGACGAGCCCGGAGTGCGGAGGGCAGCGAGCCCAGGAGAAGTCTGGGCACCTCCGGGCCAGGAGCCCAGGCCGTCCTGCTGTGGATGTGAGGGGATGCAAGAGCTCAGGGTGATGGTACCACGCGTGGATACCCAGCCACTCACGGGGGCTTCAAGAGGGTCAAGCTCCTCTTCCCTGGCCCCATCCAGGCAAGGCTGGGATCAGCAGGGGGATCCGCGCAGTGGACACAAGGCAGCTCCCCGCTGGAGCGGGGCGCAGTCTTACCATAAAAGTCCTCGTGGGGAGCCTGGGTGCATGGAGCAGACACCGCTAGTACCTGTGGGCAGTGATCCACCTGGCTCACGATGCGGCGGCACCCACCTCGGCTCCTGGCCAGAGGAAACGCGGTGGGAAGCGCAACTGCTCACACGTGGGTCCCGTCCCCAGCTTCTGTTTGTAGCCCCTTGGTCGTCATTAAAAACGGTGCAGGCTCCTTTTTCGTTTGCTTACATGGAGGACACGTGTCCCCCGGCCTGGCTCCTCACCGCCATCCCACCCCAGGCGCTCCTGCTCGCGCATCCGCATGCTCCATCCGCGCTGCACCAACAGTTTGGCCCTGTCCGTGCCCTCCCCTCTGGGCTGCCGCAGCCGCCCTGGCACCGACCGTGTCCCCCGGTCACCGAAGGGGACCGTGAGGCCTCGTGGTCACCATCAGACCTAGGGCCTGGTAGGCCCTGTTGCCATGGTGGCGACTCAGGATAGGTGGGCCCCATTGCTAGCTGATACATCAGGCCTGGTAGGCCCCGTTGCCATGGTGATGACTGGGGCCAGGTGGGCCCTGTTGCTGTGGTGATTCATCAGGGCAGGTAGGCCGTGTTGCCGTGGTGATGTTGCCATGGTGATGACTGGGGCCAGGCAGGGGCCCTGTTGCCATGGCGTCACCTCGGGCCCCGTTGCCATGGTGATGGTTCAGGCCCGGTAGGCCCCCGTTGCCGTGGCAGCCAGGTAGGAGCGGTTGCCGTGGCAACGCCCCGGTTTCCCGCACCCTCGCGGGCCTCGCCGCCATGGCGACGTGTTCCCCTTCCCTCCCCCCCGCCCCGTGCGGAGCCGCCGCCCGCCCC